CTCCAGTAGCATCGTGGGGCCAGTCGGTCTTCCCGGTGGCAACCACTATATGTAAACCGTAAGGATTAGTTGAGTTCCAGAGATTGGCTTCTTCTTCAACTTTAATTGATTTGGGGAATTTGCCAATACAGTCATCACATTGATCAGAACAACTCGATATTTCAAAGCCTTTTGCTTGGATTTCTCGACTCTTACTTTCCTCCGAGCTCCCAAACACTCTATTAAACAACCCCATTCTATCCGACTCTATATTCTATCTTGTATAGCTTATATTCTATGACTTCAATTTAATGGATTGGCTGGTTGATATTTAAATACTTGATCTGTCGGCATGCCGAAGCGATGGCTCTCGATCCGATAAAACCTAAACCCGATGACGCCCGTACACCGCCGCCCATTTTAGAAGGCTGCAAAACCCAAGGCTGAATCACTCTCTGATACCATACTGACATACTGACATACTGACATACTATCCTAACATACTATACTATATCTGTCACAGTCCTCCTGTCTGCAACAGTCTTACTATTGTTTATAGCAGTCATGCTACATCTTTTGTAACAGCCATACTATATCTTTTTGTAACTGTCATACTTATCTCTTTGTAACAGCCTATTCACTGACCTCTAGGCACAGATCTACTTCTGTTCATACTATACTATAACTACTACGAGCATACTACTAAAGCATATGCCAATATATACTCTACCATGTAATATACCAGTCTACTACTATACTATTCACCTAATGTATTACCATATGCTATTCATTAACGATTAAACTCTACTACCGGTCTACGCTAGACCGGTTTACCAGCTGTAGGCTTGTGCTATGCTATACACCGTTATTCCCAAGTACCGGAATGAACCCTCCCTTAACCGAAGTTTTGCAGGTTAAGCGAGAGATCCGAGGGTGTATCGACTAATTCTCGATTGGAAGGGGGTACTGCACACAGGACAACCGCTTCTCAAACCATTTGTGTTTAGAAGGAAAGAAAAAAAAACCACATACCATTTTAAAATCATTACCTTTTAAGCTGGCCATTTCAACTAATCCATCGCCATAGACCAAGGGCTCGTCATAAGTTTTGCATTTCCAGTTGATCTAGTTGAAGTAGGTGATCCATTTGCTCAGTTTGTTTTAATTTGTTTTTAAATTTGCTTTCTTTTCTTTATTTTCTTTAGTTGTTTTGGTTAACCGCCCAAATTATTATGAATTTTTAAAAATGGTGGATATAGCATATAAAGCATTACCAAAGGGACCACCGGAGGAATATATGTCAGCATTTAATAACCAGGAATTGAATTCTTCGCTTTATAAGTCATTAAATGAAGACGAAGATTCCAATAATATAACTGTTTCGGTAAATATTAATACTGTTGGAATAAATCATGATAAAGAACATACTAGTACTTACACTAATAATACTCCATCTACACCTACGTCAACCTCATTTAAAGTATCTAGATCAGATGCATCTGATTTAACTAATGATACCCTGCCTTCTTCAATTGAAGAGCGTAATAACATTCAACAACCAATAAATAACTCAACTAGTTCTACAATACCTTTGAACGAATCAATTAATGAAAATGCAACTCCAACAAACACTATTAAATCTTTCAAGAAAAAATTAATCAATGAAATTGACCCTCTCAACACCAATATAAATGATGATATAACTATTAAGGAAGAAGGTACCAAAAATAACGTGCTCAATCGATTAATCGATGAAAATGAATCAAAAATATCTTCAAGAAGACATACTTCTCCCCATAATCAATCTTGTGACTTGTCAAAGAATGATCATTCTTTTAAACCTCCAATTTCAAGATCAACCTTCCCTTCTTATAATAATCAACCAAAATTATCAAGTCATGATTCAACTAATTCTGAAATTTTAAGAATGAGAAATTCAATTCTCGTTAAAAGAAATATCAAAAAGAAACGTAAAGAATTCTTAGAAGATGAAAAAGTTTTAGTTGGTAATAAAATTAGTGAAGGCCATGAAAATTTTGTAATGGCTTATAATATGTTAACCGGTATTAGAGTTGCTGTAAGTCGTTGCTCCGGTATAATGAAGAAATTAAATGATGAAGATTTTAAATCAACTAAAAAATTGTCTTTTAATATGGATGGTAGTGAATTAACTCCAAGTTCAAAATATGATTTTAAATTTAAAGATTACTGTCCTGAAGTTTTTAGAGAATTAAGAAATATGTTTGGTTTAGATCCTGCTGATTATCTCGTTTCAATCACTGGTAAATATATTTTATCCGAATTAGGTTCTCCTGGTAAAAGTGGTTCATTTTTCTATTATTCAAGAGATTATCGTTTTATCATTAAAACTATTCATCATTCTGAACATAAACAGTTAAGGAGAATCTTAAAAGATTATTATAATCATGTTAAAGAAAATCCAAATACTCTTATATCTCAATTTTATGGCTTACATCGAGTTAAAATGCCATTTTTAACTGGTAGTAAAAAAATTCATTTTATTGTAATGAATAATTTATTTCCTCCTCATCGTGATATTCATTTAAAATATGATTTGAAAGGTTCTACCTGGGGTCGTACTACCAAAATTAATTCGAATAAGGAAGATTTATCGAGTTTAACTTTAAAAGATTTAAATTTTTTGGAAAGAAATGATTCAATTAAATTTGGTCCAAATAAAAAAAGTTTATTTTTCAAACAATTAGAATCCGATGTTAAATTATTAAAAAAAATTAATGTAATGGATTATTCTTTATTATTAGGTATTCATGACGTTAAAAAGGGTAACAATTCAAATTTTGAAAAATTATCTGTTTTTGACCCAAAATCTTCTGATAAATTTGAATTGATTAAAACCAATCCCAGAGATATTGATCGTGAAAATGATTTACCAACTAATGTTTATCCTGGTAGATCAAAATATGTTTTTTATGGTCATGATGGTGGTATAAGATCAACTAATGAGTTAAATGAACCTTTAAATGAAATTTATTATTTAGGTATTATAGATTGTTTAACTAATTATTCAACAAAGAAAAAATTAGAAACTTTTTGGAGATCTTTAGGCCATCAAAGATCGACCATTTCTGCATTACCAGCAAATGAATACGGTGATAGATTTTTAAAATTTATTAAAGATGGTACCTCCAAAATCAAACAAAAAATTAATTAAAGTTAAAAAATTAATTAAAATTCAACTAATTTTGCATATTCTCTTCTTCTCTTCTTCTCTTCTTCTCTTCGCTTTTCATTCTTTTCACTTCTTGCTTCAAACTTATGTGTGTGTTTTTTTTTTTTTTTTTTTTAAAGATTTTTTAATTCATTTCAATTCCTCTACTCTTCTTTTAAAAACAAAAAGCTAAAAGTTACATCTTGCATTTCTATTTATTCAGTCGCTTAGTTCATACGTTGTTAAGTCATTATAACTAGTGTATGCTCTACAATACATTTTTTATGAGTTATTTCTATTTGTAGTTTTTAAAAAGCCCTATATAATTGAATACGAGGACAAATGCAAAAGAAAAAGTAAAACCACAACAAATAAATAAAAAAAGAACAACCCATGAGATACCAGCTATCTAGACGTTTCTGTTTAGCCAGTCGGATCCTCTCTCGTCAGGAGTTTTTGCAACCCACTCTGGAGTACCAGGTGCAAAAATTTGTCTGCAATTTAGACAAGCTGCACATTGAGAAAAGCATCTGAGGTAAATAAATTAAAAGGCCAAAACAGCCCAAACCTCTCTTGAAAGGAGTATACTCAAATTAACATACTTCACAATTATTTATTCTAATGTAATACCATCGATGTTCTTTATTTAGTCAGTTGGGTAAGACTTCTTTTTTAATAGAAGTCTTTCCAATTGAGAACAAGGCGCTTCTCAGCTTCAATTTGCAGCCAATTCTACCGTTCCTTCCTCCTTTTTAGCGAGTTTAATTTAGCCTGGCTCTATGAAATAAGCCGGAGCTAATAATTTTCCTTTCTTACGTGATTGGTTTTATAGAGCAGCTTTCTAAATTAAAAACTCGAAGTCCTTAAGAACTCGTGGATCAAATCAGGAATCTATATCACGCTACACCTCACATTTGGTTACAGGAATCAGTCTTAACTTGATTGATTAAAAAATTGTAGATTTTTGCTTCATGCCACATAACCATTCTCGCGTGTCCTTTTGAACTCACAATTTAAACTTAAGTACAAGGTTAGAATTACTTATTTTTTTTTTTTATTTTTTTTATTCTTATTTCTCTATTGAACATAAGCAAAAGTATATTGAATAAAGAAACAAAATCTGCTGAAGGGCAATTCAAAGGCTATTAAGAGCATTGTCCTCACAACTCGCCAATATTAGCAGCTTCGAATCATATCAAATTTAATCAAACTCTTCCCTGTAGGGCTTTCAGATTTTCAAATGAGATGATTGATTAACTCCAAAGGAAAGAGGACCACCTTGGGATAACCCCTTCAAATAATTATAGTATTTAGGAAAAGGGATTCATCTAAAGCTTCATAGAAACTTTTAGCAGTTGATTCATGATGATTATTATATTGAAAAGAATACATCGAATCACCTCAGTGAACTTGCTAACCCAAGCGAACTCTCACACCCAAATTGGTACTTTGATCTGAAACTAGTTTAGTAAACATACTACACAATCAGTATACAGAAAAATGCTTTGACTCAGTCGATATTGGTCTTTTTTTTTTTTCTCTCTAGTCGTCCGAAAAAAACGTCTGAAACGTTCAGAAAAGCTTTTAAGAAAAACAAAGTAGATTTTCAACTAGAATTTAGCAGAAAAATTGTTAAGAAAACAAAGGAAGCCTAAATTTTTTTTTTTTAAAATTTTTTTTTTAATTTTTGAAAAGCTCTATTTGAAAATGCATTTAACTTAAGGACTTGTTATATTATGTTAAAATTCAATCTTGAGCGGAAATTAGCATTTGGCGTAGTTGGTTTTTCCACTTTCCCAAAGCTTGTGTTGCCGGTTCGAATCCGTGCAGTGCTCCTGTGGCGCAGAGGTTTAGCGCTTCGTGCTTATAGCCGTGTTACGACGATATTGGTTATACCATAAGTCACGGTCGTGTGAGGAACGCGACGGTCGTGGGTTCAATCCCCTCCAGGAGCATTTTTTTTGCAATTGAAGATTGTAGTTTATTGAAGTGATCTAATTCTCTAAATCGGAAAGCAGTATATCAATATTTTTTTTTTAACATATGGTAGATTCACTCAAAAAAGTCCCCAAAAGTAAGAGAAATAATGATCCTTATCCCCAATTAATGAACCAAGCTATGAAAACGGGATTTCATAACTGAAATTTTGATACTAGTTAGCTATTCACTATCGATGATTAGCCAATGTAATATGCCAAATATAACAAAAGGGATTAATATACGACTGAGCTAGACTAAGTAAGTTCCCTTAATAAGGAATTATACGAAGAAAACTAATCTCAATTATGCCTGGGTAGCTCAAGTATAGATAAAAGACAATCGATACCATTGTGGTCATAGGTATACGAGCTTCGCTCTTATTATTTAATTCAATAGAGCCTGCGAATGTAAGATCAGTGAAGTATATGCACAAAAAAATACTAGTTTCACTACAAGATACTTGTGCCTCTAGTGGTTGTAGATTTCGAAAGCTGTATCCAAAATACATATCCAAACAGAATTTCAAGAAGTGACGCTTACATGTTTATTTATTAAAGAATGCTCCTTCTAATTATTAGTTGACAAAGCTCCAGAAAAGTGCACTAGTACTGATTATGGTATAGGATGGCATCTGGTTGCCTTTTTAACATTACAAGAAGCGTTTTTTTGCTGCAAAAATACGCTGCGAATTTTTCGTTGAGAATGTAAATTTGAATCAGAAAGACAAACCCTAGTGCTAGTGATGAATTAGGCTTTCTTTAAGTAGGGTTGTGAGGATATTCACCATATGTCTGATTAATATCCATAGTCTCGGGAACAGACGGCAGTAGCACATACAGACTAGTGTTGTTTGGTGGGTGAGTTGATCCGCTGAAATTACTCATCGCAACAAAGTAAACTACCGAAGAGCTCTTTTCATAGAGCTATGCTTCTATCGTCTGGGAAGGGTTCCTGAGAAGAGAATATCTATTTGATTGTACAAGCTTGATATACATAAGGTCATTGCGTGAAAATCACAAAGAATAGTTTGCCACAAACATTATTAAACTTCGAGTTGATCATTTTCTTTGTTTGCTAATCAATTCGAAGCACCATCGATGGTTCCAAAGAAACTAATAATTGAACCTAAGCAAAGAAATATTGTATAATATTCATGAAGAAATTTCATGGCTTCGTCGATTGTAATTTGTCGTTTTGAATCAAGTCGGTAAAATAAGATACAACCTCTTCGTGAACTAGAAATGTTTCCATGTAAAATATTCTTTCTGAAATAACGATAGGTTGTTCTCTAACGGATTATGGTAGACCAAACCTCTATGGACCACGTATGTATATAAATAGTATAGGCTTTATGGTACCCCTTCGCAAAGGCATCCTATATATTACTTGTATATATATAAATGGACATTCCCACCGACGTGGGACTGAGAAGAATAGATCCAAAGAGAGAGGTTCTTCTGTAAATATACTTTATGTTACATATATTCTTTTATTTGGTTTATATTATTTATTATTAGTTATTCCGCCCTTTAATAACAAAGTGAAGATTGATCTAGATAATAAATTAGTCACTACCAATGAGATATTGGTTCGTATTGACTAGTGTTTTATTGCGTGTGAACATGTGTCAGACCATGAAGGTCTGGCGATGATGTCCGGGCCTGACTTATGCCAGGACCGATTCCATACATCATCATAGCCGAAGTCCAATAAAGATGTTACAAACATTCTTTGTGAAATGTCATCGGGACAGATATCATAATACATGTACATATATATATATAGGTAAGTAATTCCACTTGAGTGGAAAATTCCTTTATGACTCTTCGTGGAGCGTGGACCTCCGTGACTGCTCCTATTGGTTAAATGGATAGAAGTATGGGTAATGCCCCATGAAGAGTTTTATTTCATTCGGTAATATACATTTTATATAATCTTAATTGTTGGCTTTTGTTATATTAGTATTAATTGTAATAAGTTATTTCCTCCCTTTGAATAACACCAAAAAGATTAATCTATATAATAAATTAATCCACTCCATCATCAGTTATTAGTATGTATCTAGCTAATATCTTATTGCGTGTGTTATGGTCGTCCATACTGGAACATATATTTATATGCATAGTATAGATATATGTGGTCGATAGAGGTCTGATCTACCCACATAACCCGATAACATGGTTTCCCCTCTTGAAAACTATGTTCATCTTGTAGACATATGTGGGTAATAGAGGTCTGACCTACCCATATAACCCGATGAAGATGAAAACTTCACAAGAGATGAAAACTTTACAAGAGATGAAATGTAATCCAACAAGTAAACAATGATTGCAAGGGATTTCAAAGTAAGTGCATATAAAAGTTTTCTTTTAATAATGCTTCTAAAGCAAATAAATATAGCTTTAGAAGCCTTTTCACGGCCGTTAAAATCTTATTATACTGTAAAGTTTAAATTAAAATGACTATGCCAGGCAAACAGCACCAACTTTTGCTTTCAACAAAGGTTTTGTGGTCTAGTTGGTTATGGCATCTGCTTAACACGCAGAACGTCCCCAGTTCGATCCTGGGCAAAATCATTTGTTTTCTTTTTTGATACTTGTAAAGTATCACAATCTTTTTGCTTTGCAAGTATAAACTCTTAATGTTCCCTTTTTTAGTTTTTGTCCTAATATAATTTTGCTTGCGCGATGCCGATCTGATGCATTTTCTATAAGAGCGCAACGTTCTAGTCTAAAACCCATCTCCATGATTACAGTGAGAGTTAGGAACATGCGATATCTGTATAGTGGAAATATCACCATTTTATAAGTGGATAGAAACAAGAGTTCGGTGTTGGATTTGCTTAATGTTCTTTTTTTTTTTTTGCAACAACGAGGTTTCTCGGGTTCACATAAAGGGCTTGAATTTGGAACAAAAATAGAAAATCGTGAAAAAGTATAACGACTAGGTCTATCTGTTTTCAAAGAGCCTTCAAAGTTCATTCACTTCAATTCAAGATTCGATGAGTCTTGTGCACACATAGACTACAAAATGTTTGATGGATGTTATAAAACAGTAAATATTATATTTTTTATAGTATACAGAAGAGAATAGAATCGGTTAAAAGACATGGCTATGCCAATCACTAGAAGTCCAAATTACTAAGAAGAGGACAATAACCAACTTCAATAATCATACATAGATAAAGATGAAATAACCTGACAATAAAATACACAAGACTAAGCAGACTTAACTTAAGCGGACCAGAATTGGTAACTTTTTGGCTGGGTGATACTAATTGGTAAACTTTCATCTTCATTTCTATTAGAGTCATTTTCAGCACTGTCCTTGTCAATTTCCATTTCACTGGAGTTGGCTTTTTTATCATCCAAGTTAACTTTATTAAAAGTCTTATTGACTTCATTAATGCTGATTGGAGTTAACAAATCGTCCAAAAGACTACTTAATTCTGGGTTGTTATTTTGCTTTTTAAACTTATCAATCTTCTCAAAATTATGCCATCTTTCAATTAAAAGTTGTTTTCTTTGTAAGTTAAGTAAGTTTTCAGTTTTAATTAAGTTTTTTTCTAAATTATCAATCAAATTTAATTTTGTTTGAAATTTTTCCAAAGTTAATTCAATAGTTTGGTTAATAAGAGATTGCTGATTGATTATCGATTCATTTAAATTCTTATCAGAATTTTCTTTAACTAAATCTTTCCCTTGTTGAGTTGTTATAAGTTTTTTAACAACCTCCTGTATTATGGTTTCCTTATCAATTCCAGAACTTGATTCATCTTTTCCAGAATTGATCAATTTATTCAAGTACCTATCTTCAATTGGTAATTGAATAAATTTGATCAAACATTGTTCTCTATCTTTGGTTCCAACGTGTTCACTTACTTTATCCCATTGACCATTATTATTAACAAAATAACTTTGATTTTGTGAATCAAATGATGCAAACATTTCCACACCTTCTAATAAGAGTAAAACTTCTTGTTCGCTCCAATTGGAAGAGCTTGATTCATTTTGTAACTTAACAAAATCCGATGATTGAAAATTGGAAGGAAACAAACCTTGATCAAATGCTTCCGAACTTATAATAGAAGCGTTAGCAGGATTTAAAGCACTATTCCCATAAGTTTTACTTTTCAAGTTATGATATCTAACATCTCCAGTTTCTTTATTAGTGATACTGCAAAAATATTGAACTGGATTAGTATTATTATCTTTTGATGAAATATCATTATAAACATTACGTCTAAGTTCTAAATTCAAAGGAATACCCGCTTCACTTTTAATGGTTTCCTCTTCTGGTTCAACAGAAGAAGCAGGGGGGGACGGTAAATCATTCTTTGTATCTTGAACATTTTCTGGAATTAAAGGAACTAATCCTTTAGGTGTATCCAAAGTTATTTGAAAATGTCCAGTATATTGAGGACCGACTGTAGAAGATTTGGTTCTAGGATCAATTTGATAATTAATTAACCCCCATTTTTCTAAAAATTTATGAATTCTTATTATAGTAGCAACATCTCCCGCTAGGTTACGACGAACAGCAGTAACACTTAAATACTCTATAGGATTGATTCTATAAGCATTGACAAGAAAATCCCTTATATGTTTATAAGCTTCTGGTGTCTTATACACCGATCTTGGAGTTTCAGAATGAACCTTGTTTGGGAAGAAATCCGGGAACAGCTTCTTTTCGATCTGGTGAATAGTATCTAAATCAAACCATTTTGAGTATGATGGAATTACAACATGTTTGGTTTGTTCAACCAAATATGTTTTAACCCTCTCGGAAAACAACTCCCTTTCTTTTTGCAAATCAACTGGTTTATCTCCACCAGCTTCATGGGATTCAGTGGCTGGAGTACCGTCATTTGTAGCATTCTCAGTAGCCGGTGTTTGAGTTCCAGATTCAACTGGTAGTTTTTCAGTCTTCAAACCAGAACCTTCAACTGATTGGTCAGAGTTATTCTTTATTGGTG